AAATATTTGTTTTACTGTCGTAAAATAAATTTTTTATATGAGACAAATATTTATTTGTTTTGAGAAAAGAATTTGTTACAAAATAAAATATTTTTCAATTCAAATCAATATTATTAGTTTCAAATAAATGATTTATTCGGCAATATCGAAATAAATACTTATTCAAACTCAATAACTTATTTTTTCAGTGCAGCTTTTCGAAAGCCCAAAATCTTCATAAAATATTGATAATTCAATGAGATATAAAAATTTTTAATTTAAAACAAAAGCAACCTTTTTAGCTTTCCATTTGCAAAATTTCGATGAAATAAATTCTGTCTTCTTCCAAGATTCCTAAATTTTTCAATACATTAAATAATGCAGTTAATTAAATAACTAAATAGAATTGAAATGAATTTTACAATCTAAAATAAACGCTAGTTTTACGTGTTAGCTATACAAAATTTCATTTGTAATCCTTTTATTGTAATCAGAATGTATTTTGTCATGGAATATTTTTCTATTTTTATCAATTATGGTTTTTATTTATATCATAAAAAAATTTATTACAATAGTTTCGCGGTCAGCCAAAAAGAAATTATAGTTTTCCTATTTAATTAAAATATCGAAAGTTGTTTATTTTGTAACTATGGAGATGATACGTTAATTCCTTCGCAAGAATAGTTGTATAAATAGATATAAAAATATATAAAAAAATACATTTGCATATTATTATTCGCAACGCGCGTCCTGTTTTTTTTTACAACTGCAAAGAGGAAGAAGGGAGATGCTTGTAAAAAACATGGGGCCTCTTTAAGATCATATAGCTTAAGGGCCACAAAACTGTAGATCGACCCTGTATATATGTACCGTATATTGTAAAAAGATTGCAAAAAGAAGAAAGAAACGAATTCGAGAAAAGAATAAATTAGAGAAAAAAAGATCGATTTTAGACAGAAAATACGCACTGTTAACATCTTCTTAAGAAAATAGAATAGATTTCTATTTTTATTTGTTCGACATAATACAATACTGTTTTTAATCCCTAAAAAGAAAACGAAAAAAGAGGTAAATCAGTGTGGACAAGATGGATCGGTTTTCGCATCTTGTGATCTATCCTTTCTTAATTAAGTCGTTTTTACAGGACCACGAAGTGTGTCGGCAAACATGCCAAAGAATTCACGCAGAGGGGGAAACTAATATATATTCAAGCAATTTGCTTCCTGCCGAGGGAAAAATCATAGATGGGAAAAAAGTTTCACCGTCAAAGATGTGTCTTTATCTTGTGTGCTTTGAAATCTGATTTTTATATTGCTCTTCTGAATTTGACATAACATGTTTGACATATAGATGTAATTACGAGATTTTCTAACTCTTCAAATATTGTACACTGAAAAAAAAATTATTAAACTAATAAATATTTTTATTTCAATACTGCCTAATAAATTTATTACCAATAAATATTTTTTCGCGTCAAATCAATATTATTAGTTTCAAATAAATGATTTATTTGGCAGTATTGCGAAATAAATACTTATTCGAATTCAATACATTTTTTCAGAGTAAAATCAAATTACGAGATATAAATTTATATAAATAATATAAAATAAGAAACTCAAAAAGAGGTATCGGGTGATCGTGCATCCTGCGTCGCCGAAATTCTGCTTACAATATAAAATATTTTTTGTATTACAATTGATGGGACTTCATAGAAAATATAATTAAATTCATATAATAAACGTGAAAAAATTGTTTGAATTTAATTGTCTTTATTGTCACTATTATATTTTAGCATATTACAATATAAGCGCGTTCTTATTTTGCAATTCCCTTCAGTGACCTAATAGAAATTATAATGAATATATTTAAAAACTTGAAAAAATTATTCTAATTAATTTCTTATTTGTCGTCTTGTATTAGGTATATGCAACGTAATAAATAAGAGATCGATGACTTAATTTCTAAAAAATATTTATTTATATGTAAAAATTGATACAAAAATATAAAACACTTATAATATATTAAATATATTAATTACATATAATAGTATTATTAATTCTTAATTGTATTAACCCTTAGACTGCTGGGAAAGTCACTTTTGTAACTCGATGAAAAATCTTCGAAATTGTGTACAATGTGTATGTTACTTATATAGATAAATTTTGAGGAAAAAAAAACTCAATTTTAATGAAAAAATGCTGACAGTCTAAAAGGGTTAAGAATAATATATAATTTTATTGTTTATATATTTCAAAAGCAATTTTTTTTTAATTTTTTAACTTGCAAAAATAACATTTTTAGTATGATTATATATGTTTGTGGAATCATTAGCAATGAGAGTTAAATGCCGCGATCATTAGATAGACCCAAAATGCCCCCCTCTAGTTAAATGGATGAATCTGGTTCGTCAAAATTCTCTGTAAATCAAAAAAAGTGTGGCTATTGTTAAAAACAAATCATACACTTATGGATGCAACTTTCACATCTTTCATGCTGCTGACAAAGTTTACTCTTTGTGTCAGGATCACTTTTGCAGAATTGCCTTTGTCACGGATAAATATAGAGATTATTTTCTTATCTGAGAATTCGATACAAGTTATATCGCAATCGAAAATACCAACAATGTATTTTTATACCACAAAAATATTTTTTGTATCACAATTGATGAGACTTCATAGAAAATATAATTAAATTCATATAAAAAACGTGAAAAAATTGTTTGAATTTAATTGTCTTTATTGTCACACTATATCTTAGCATATTACAATATAAGCGTGTTCTTATTTTGCAATTCCCTCATTGACCTAATAGAAATTATAATGAATATATTTAAAAACTTGAAAAAATTAATCTAATTTAATTATCTTATTTGTCGTCTTGTATTAATATATGCAACGTAATAAATAAGAGATCGATGACTTAATTTCTAAAAAAATATTTATTTATATGTAAAACTTGATACAAAAATATAAAACATTTATAATATATTAAATATATATTAAATAAATAAATTATATTATAATATAAAAATGTATTATGCAAGAATATATTAATTATATTATAATATATTATAAATATATTAAATATATTATTTACATATAGTTCAGGTTTATTCCGGACTCCCCTTAATTAAGGCTTGCCGGGGCGTTTTTAGAGGACCGCCAAACCCCTTACAACCTCCTTCTCTCTTTTCCTATTTACATTATCACATATCATTGATATCAAACATTATCATACATATTGTTACATTGTAATGTACAATATATACAATATGATACAATAACAGAAAATCATAACTCCTCTCCTCCCTTCTCCCTTCCCCTCTCACATTTCCCTTAAATACAATTCTGCTCCTCTTCTTCCTCACCTGGCCATTTTGCGACCTTACAATATAACTGGGTCCCTTCCCCCCTGTCCCTCTGCCCCTATCCTATCCTTTCCTACTGAATCCTTTTCTCCTCGACCCCCTTTGCCTCTACAATATAAAATATTTTTTGTATCACAATTGATGGGACTTCATAAAAAATATAATTAAATTTATATAATAAACGTGAAAAAATTGTTTGAATTTAATTGTCCCGATTCAGCCGACTTTCGGACCAATATTTTTCTCGCCTATTTCTTTACAGGGGATGTTAAGAGAAGGAACAGGGGGAATTTTTGAGATCCCAACCATAGGATTCAAATTCCTTTCCAAAATGTTCTTTCCTTCATAATTGTCGCAATAACATCGCGTTTGGCTCTATTGGTCGAGAGGAATCAAGTGGAGATTGTGGCTTTAATTGTCTTTATTGTCACTATTATATTTTAGCATATTACAATATAAGCGCGTTCTTATTTTGCAATTCCCTTCAGTGACCTAATAGAAATTATAATGAATATATTTAAAAACTTGAAAAAATTATTTTAATTTAATTTTCTTATTTGTCGTCTTGTATTGTATATAATATACCTATTGTATATATATATGGATTTTTTACTTTTTACTATATGAATAATATGTAAAATATTACCAATATGTTATATATGAACTAAAAAATCAGCAATGATACAGAAAGATTATTCTTACTTACTTTGCATCTGGCATAATATTATTTCTATAAATAATTAAATATAAATTTTCAATTTAAAAAAATTTATTGTGAATATATATAATGAATAGAAAAACTTGCTAATAATTTGTACTTATTAGATCAAGATACAGAAAATCGCGTATTGTTATTGCAAAGGTATTTTTTGCTACAGAAATATTTTGCAGCATAGCAAACTAGATTATTTAACATTGAAGCCAACAATCTAAATTATTTATTATTGATATATAAGTAGTGATATATTATTATATATTTCTTACCTTATTATAATACACTCCTGAGATAATTAACAAAATAAATATATTTAGACTAAAAATGAAAAATTCGACATTGTAATGGCTTATGTAAGTTAATATACGTGTCAATAGAAAGAAATAAATCGACCAAATTAACAATATGTACAGTAAAGAAAATCCTGCTTTCCGGCGACTTGTCGGAAATTCGACCACTTTTATTTAGGACACATAAGTATTGTAATTATCAAAAGTGGTTTTAAAATTGTTTGAATATTATTGCTCATTACATGTCCTATTTCGTTTCCGGACTGAACAGTCGTGTCACACTAAATGATAGCACATATTTATAATGTCAGAATACATAAAATAATCGATCGATTGACGTTTACATACCGTAAAACATTTATATAATTCAGAATATAGATTTGATGTTTCTTTTATAATGAAAGTAGAAATGTTTTTTTAAATATTCTTTATTATTTTTCCCCAAAGGTTTTGTAATACAATAACATATATTTAGTGATTTTATCAATTAATGAATATTAATATTAAATATTATAATATAATATTTTCTGAGAATATAAAATAAATAAAAATTTCGTACAAATAAAAATTATATCGAGTCAAACGCATAAAACTAAACTATTGAAAAAATAATTTATAATGAATACATAGTGAGAAAATAATTAATTATGTATAATAAAATCATAATAAAGATTCAGAATTTAAAAAATTATTGTCGCCAAAAAGTTCAAGAGAGTGATTTATATATTCTAAAAACGCCCCGGCGGTGGATACACCGGTGCCAGTGCCGCGTACGCTGCTGGTGCCGGGTATGTGGTTGCTGCCGGATATGTTGTTGGTGGCGCGTACCCTGGTGTAGCGTACCCTGGTGTAGCGTACGCTGGTGGAGCGTACCCTGGTGTAGCGTACGCTGGTGGAGCGTACGCTGGTGGGGCGTACGCTGGTGGAGCGTATACTGGTGGAGCGTGTGCTGGTGGAGCATACACCGCGTACGTCGGTGTAGGTAATGCTGTCGGAGGATATGGTGGAGCCATTGCATACATGTATGCTGGTCGCGCGCGCGTGTTACGTTTTCTTCTTTCTCTATTTACTGCCCGCCGAACCGCTTCGTTTACTTTCTGTAAAAATAAAGATTATAAGCATACTGTGTGTGTGTGTGTGTGTGTGTGTGTGTACATACACGCACACAAATCAAATTTATTTATGTATGAGTGTGTACATATATGTACATACATATATACAGGTTATTGTAATTGTAACAGAGCAAAATAAAAAATGTGATAAGAAAAAAAAGATGTGGACAAAATCAGTAAATTACAATGCAAATTCTACAGATCGAATAAAAACTGTATATGTGCATGTATATATATAAACACACTGAAATGATTTTATACAGATGTTGTACTTATTATAAATAAAAAAATATCATTTGTAAAAACATAAAAAAAGTTAAAAAAATTTTAATATTTGCAAAATCATTATTTCTCCAAAAATGTAGTACACACCATTTTTCTAAAGAACAATGCAATGAATAAAAGAAAATGCAAATGTTTCAGTTTTATATGAAACAATATTTGTTTCATAAAAGCTGAAACATTTGCATTTTCAATTTTTGTTTCATAAAAAACGGAAACATTTGCATTTTTTTTATTCATTGCATTATTCTTTCAAAAAATGTGTACATTTTTTGGAGAAATAATGATTTTGCAAATATAAAATTCTTTTTCAATTTTATTTATGTTTTTACAAATAATATTTTTTAATTTATAATATTTTTAAAAACTCTGAAATAAAAATTATTTCAGTGTGTTTATATATACATGCACGTATACAGTATTTATTCGATTTGTACAATTTGCATTGTAATTACAATTTACTGATTTTTGTCCATATTTATTTCTTTGCTTATCACATATTTTTTATTGTGCACTGTTACAATAACAATAGCCTGTATATATGTATGTATATATGTGTACACACACATACATAAATAAATTTTATTGTAGACTTGTTATAAAATTAGCCCTTTATACAAAGCGTATATATTCATATATTTATCAACAAAAAATTTAATTTAAAATATATATTTTTTAAAAAGAATTAGAAAAAATTATTTCAATAATTTAGTGCAATAAAAATAACTGCGCGGTCAATTTTACTACAAAAATTAATTACCAACCTTTTGCATTAGTCTATTCACCGCGTCGTTCCTCGGTGGGGCTGCGTCAATCCTCGGCGGGGCTGCGTGGGCTGCGTCGTTCCTCGGCGGGGCTGCGTCAATCCTCGGCGGGGCTGCGTTGTTCCTCGGCGGGGCCGCGTCTATTCTTGGCGGGGCCGTGTCTATTCTTGGCGGGGTCGCGTCTATTCTTGGCGGGGCCGCGTCTATTCTTGGCAGGGCCGCGTCGTTTCTCGGCGATGCATTATTAGTCGATCCTCCTGAAAATTTAAAATTATTTTGGTCTAATTTGTTTTCGACAAAATAAATACTAAGACTGCGATCGGGACGAACGATCGGAATATCGTTGTTCTATATTTCACAAGAATAAACATTGAATATTTCGAAGCATTCATAGCGTTTTTTCCGATCATAGCCTAATATATATGTATATATGTATATATGTACATATGTGTGTCTGTGTATGTATTTATATATTTTGTAATATTGTCATGAAAGAGGAATAATGTGTGTGAGAGAAAAAGAGAAAGAAAAAAATAGAGAGAAAGAGAGAGAAAAAGAAAGGAATAGAGAGAAAGAGGGAGAGAGAGAGAGAAAGAGAGAGTATATGTGTTACAAAACATGGACACATTCTTTACCCGCGCAAAAAGAAGTCCTTATTTTTCTCTCCTTGTCCTTCTATGCTGTTTGAGACATGTATGCTAATTTAAACTATATAGTTCCATGAGTCTAGTTATGTATATATATCTATGATAATACACTTATACATGTCTATATATTGCATACAATTTGTATAAAATATTGCCGTACACACACGCACTCTCTCTCTCTCTCTCTCTCTCTCTCTCTCTCTCTCTCTTTCCTTCTTCCTTTCTCTTTCTCTCTCACACACATTGCTATTTCGTGACAATATTACAAAATACATAAATATATACAGACACATACAGGCATACATATTATAACCGTATCGCGCGGAATTCGCAGCGAATATCCATTCGTCGCGGAAGGAGAAAAGTCTCCTGCGGAATATCGGTTACCTTCGGCGCGATCTCTCCGTTCGATCACAAAAAAAAATTTGCAACAAACAAAAAAAATAATAAGAGAAAACTAAAATCTCAATTTAGTTGGGCGCCAGGTGCGGCAGCCGCACCGTCTCTCAATTAATAAATTCGCGGGACGCTAAGTCTTAATTTCCTCGGACCTCTTGTCCTAGCCCTTTCGCGGGCGTCAATCACGGGAGAGAGAGAGATCGCGACGGCAACTTTCCCGCTCGGCTAGCCTCTGTGCGGGTAAGGGTTCGGGTGCGTGGCGGCAAGAAATCACCCTAGGAATTAAAGTTAGTAAAACATATATTTAACTTTGGTTCACAAGACACATGAGTATATAATATAAAGAAATAAGCGGCGTGCACAGACGCACGATTGAGAGTTCGGTGGGGCACTACGCCCGGTGGTTCGCCGTGCCGAGTTATGAATAATCTTTAACAAATTCGCGGCAACAAAGTAGGGTCCCCAATAACGAAAAGACGATTAATTAAATCGGCGACGCGCCACCGGGTATATGGCTCCACGCCGCGGGCGCGTGATCCGCGCGGTATGCGCGACAACAAAGGGGCCGGCGTAAGGGCGCACCGCGTGCGCCGTACATAAATTCCACACACAAAATCAAACGTAATCACGCCTTTTCGTTTAAGCCTTTACAACCTCAATACTTTACAACATTAATACTTTACATTATCAATACTTTAATGAGCCTGAAAGCGTTTATGAGCTCTTTGATTTTCGCTTCGAACAATAATCGGCAACGCGTAAATCGCGGTAATTTTCGCGCGACAATGTTACGCGCGAAGACTGTCCACGCGGGAGAGAGAATACGCGAAAACGCAAGAGAGTGGATGGGTCATAGTTTCTCCCAATGGAGTTTCGTTACGTTAATACCGTGACTCGACGATAAAACGAATCTCTCGTAATTTTATAACTGGCCGGCAACTAAGTCCGGCATACTCTCTTAACGATAAGTAATTCGGGACCCATCCACCCGGCTACCTTAATTCGGCGACAGCAGGATGACCACGTCGTCTCACCAGTCCTATAACGATCCTTATCGTCCTCTCCTCTTTCGCTCTCCCTAAGTTGCGCTTCCGTCTCGGGACCTCCGCTCTCTTCGGGCGCTCGCTAGACAGTGCCGAACCGGGGGCCCTCAGGAGACACGTCGGTGACCCAATTATGTAGATAGGCCACTCGCGGCGCTATCAGGTCGGCCGCGCGCGCGGCCTCGGTGATCCTTGCGGCCGCGCGCGTAATTATCCTTACCCGCGGAGTCCTGATCCGCGGGTTGCCCTTCGTAGGCGGTCGTCGCGGCAGCGCACGGCAGGGCCGCTCCTGGCTCTCCTTCGGGATTCCGGAAGTCCCGGGGGCGGCAGCTCTCCTGCCGGCGCTCCGTATGCGGGGACTCGGGTGCTTGTTGCACCCGAGTGGCCATCCCCTGTTCGCCCCTGGAAGGTACAAATTTTCAGGCAGTGGCACCTACTCCGTTGTCGGATATTTGGTGAAGAAATTTTAACTTTGGGCTTACCGGGCATGTCCCTGACGAAGGGGGTCCCCGTCGTCCTGCTTCCTATGCCTTCCCTTTTCTCCTCCAGGTTTTCTCTATCGGCTGAGACTCGTCGCACATCCTGTCTGCCGCCGAAATAATCCTAACTCTCAACAAAACAACAAAAAAATATATGGAAACGCGTAGCAGCGGGTTCGCGTCCGATCCCGCGCTTTTCGCACGCACGCTCTCTCTCTCTCTCTCTCACTGTCTCGGGAGAGCAGAGGTCCCGTGCCCTCCCCCGATCGGGCCATTCAGCCCTTGTGACGGACAATTTCAATTTGTCACGTCACAACTCCCCCTTTCCAGAGGAGGACCGGGGGAAAGGTTCCGACCAGGAACCGACGCCGTCATCCATTCGCCTACTACTTACGTACTGTGTACCTTGAAACGATACTAGGGCGATGACTCGACAGCGGCTGATTTCTCTCTCTCCGCATCGACGACTTTACTCTAATAATAGCGGTCATTGGTAGAGCGAACGGTCTCGCTCCAATGTTCACGTGGCACATGCAAAATTCGCAGAAGGGACGGCAAAGAAAGGTCACTTAGCAGAGTACGATTAGGTGGGCCGGAGGCCTCTCTCCTCGTTTATTAGTTATATTTCTACAAAAAGAAAAGCCTCAACGACAACCAATCGACAACAATAAAAAAAAAGAAAAACAAAACTAATAAGGGTTAAAAGAAAGAGTTGTTCTCCGGAACGGCAACTAGGTGGGTGGTCCTCGGCGACCCAGATGTCCCTTGTCCGGGTGATAAGGGCCCAAGTCGGCCCAGCCAGGTCCACACTGGGGGCATGTCCGCATCGTCACTCCTTGTCGTCCGCAGCCGTAACAGTACGGAGTGGCTCCTCGCGGCAGCGGGCAGTTGGAGTAGCGGTGGTCTGATCCTTGGCAATTCCAACAGACCATCGCTGCGCGGCTTGCGGAGCGGGGACGAGACTGGGACCGTTGGCGGTCCTCCCGGTCCTTCGTCCTTTCCCGTTCGGTCTTTTCCGGGGATTGCGTCCGGGCGAGTCGACGGGCCGGGGAGCGGCTGTAATCCCGCTCCCGATCCCGGAGACCGGTCGGGCTCGTTCGTGTCGACGGGCGGTCGGATCGCGGCCCTCTCGGGGGCGATGATTGTCGCACGGCTGCCGCGGGCGCTCTCTGGCCTGGCCGGGGCGGCTCCTCGGCCCTCGGGGAAAGAGGGCGCAATCCGCGTCCTCGGCCCCGAGGTCGGGGAGCCGGCATTCGGTCGTCGGGTCCGGGGATATCGTCGGCTTCACCCGGCCGCGAAGGGTTTCCGTCGTCTTCCGTCTGGATGGCGACGGAGCGGGTCCTCGGTGGCACCGGCGGGCTCGTCTGGGTGGCCTTCGTTGCCAGGATCGGTGCGACTTGGGTGCCGAGGTCTCGCATCTCAACCGCCTCGGTTTGCGATGCCTGATACCGCGTCTCGTAATCAACACCGAACGCCGCGTAAAAGGCGTGGTACCGGGACCACGGTGGTTCGGTCTGTTGGCCGGTAGATACGGTGGCGGGAAACTCCCGCACCACCGCTCCCCTGGTGGTATACCGGCTTCGTCGGTGTTCGGCGATGAGTTCGCCGATCTCAGCCCAGATCCCCGGGTTTGTCCTCTCGGCCTGGTCCAGCAGGGCCGCGTTGCGCTGGAGGAAAGTCCTCAATAAGCCCTCCATCTCTCGTCGTTCTTTTATTGCCGGCAACTAGGGTTCCGACAACTATCTAAAAGCGAGGAAGGTGATAGGGTTTGAGGTCTTTTGCATGTACCTTTGAAACGATTCTACCCTCTACATCGGTGAGCTCATAAACGACAGGCGATAATATCTTGCTAACTCGAAACGGTCCATGAAACTTTGGCACTAACTTGGCGGCAAAATTTTTCGACGCGGCTGACAGTACGTGCTGTCTTTTGAGTACCATATCGTCGATTTTGTACGCGACATCGCGGTGTCTCAGATTGTAATACTGTGACTGCTTTTGATAGGCTTGTTCGAGATTCTCGGAAACCCAGTCGCGCAAAGGCGCAATAGCCTTCATACGATCTGACCACTCAGCTGGGTCTCTACGTTGTATGTCGACAACTTCATTATATCTTGCGCGTATAGTTTTCGGAGGCCATAATTCTCGTCCGAGGTTCAAAAACGCGGGCGAGGTACCAATCGAGGAGTGATGAGCGGTATTGTACGCAAAACGAAACTTTCCCAAGTGCTCATCCCACTCTCGGTGATCCTGCTCGATAAACGCGACTATCATCGTCTTCACGATACGATTCACGCGTTCCGTCGGATTCGCTTGGGGATGATACGGGGGAGTGTTAGTAATTGTGATTCCGTAATCCTTTGCGAAAGATACTAGGGTATGGTTGACGAATTCTGTCCCGTTGTCGGTCAACAGAAACTTCGGCGTACCCCATCGCGACACGACTTCGTCTAACGCCTCGACGATTTTCTTACCGTTAGCTGCCCTTAGCGCGAAACACTCGATCCATTTTGTAAATAAATCCTGGATAACGAGGGCGTATGTGAAACCGGACTTACTTCGAGGGAACGGTCCCATTACGTCGGCAGCTACTACGGTCCAGGGAGCGTCGACAACGCGGTGGCCCATTAAACCCGCAGGACTGGCCTGTTCTACCTTAGTTCGTTGACAAACCTCGCACCGTTTCACATAGTCCGTGATATCTCTAAACATGTTCGGCCAGTAATAACGAACGGCTAATCGGTGGTAGGTTTTCTCAACCCCGAGGTGCCCGGATCGCGGTTCGTCGTGTGCCTCTCTCAACGCGTCTCTCCGCAACTCTCTAGGCAACACGAGTTTCCACCTATCCAGATCCTCGACGATCTCCGACACGACCGGCTTCGGTCGACAGAAATATAGTTGTCCGTCCACTATTCTCCAATCGGTAAACGGACGCGCTTTCGTGGCGACTTCCGTAAGACGCTTCTTATACCAGGCATCGTTCGTGTTCGCGTTTTCTTCGACATCTACAGCGGCGACAATGGGAATCTCGGTGTCACCCTCGAACATTCGCGACAACGCATCAGGCACGTGATGTAGCGCGCCTTTCCTGTGTATGATCTCGTAATCGTACTCCAAAAGCTCTAACGCCCATCTCGCGAGTCGACCTGTTGGGTTCTTTAAGTTGTGAAGCCATCGCAGACTGCTATGATCGGTAATCACCGTGAATTTATAGCCCTCTAAGTACGGTCTAAACTTCTTTATAGCCCAGATAACGGCTAAGCATTCCTGCTCCGTCACGGTGTATCTCTTTTCCGGATCGGCTAAGGCTCTACTCGCGAAAGCGATTACGTGTTCTTCCTCGTTAATAGTTTGCGTAAGCACGGCACCTATTCCGACCGAGCTAGCGTCCGTCTGAAGGACGAACGGAATGCTGAAATCGGGTCGCGACAACGTGGGCGCGGCAACGAGATACGATCGAATTTCCTCAAACGCGTGGACCTGTTCGTTGGTCCATTTCCACGGCTGATCTTTCTTTAACAGGCGCGTTAGCGGTTCGCTCCGCGTCGCGAATTGAGGAATAAACCTCCGATACCAGGACGACATACCCAGAAATCGTCGGAGTTGTTTTAAATTCGTAGGGGCCGGGTACTCGAGAATCGGCTGTGCCTTCTCCGGATCTACTGATAATCCCTCCTTGCTCACAATGAAACCGAGATATTTAACTTGTGCGCGGCAAAATTCGCACTTCTCGGGATTGATCGTTAATCCGGCAGCGAGGATCTTTTGCAACACGCGATCCAGCCATTCTAAATGCTCTTTGAAAGTTGGCGTCACGATCACAATATCATCTAAATACGCAAAAGCATGCGGTTCCATCTCCGGTCCTATCAGTCGATCAAGTAACCGTTGAAATGTCGCGGGCGCTCCCGTCAAGCCGTACGGCATCCGCGTAAACTGATACAGGCCTTTCCCCGGAACGCTAAAGGCGGTAATTTCGCGGCTTTCATTCGCGAGGGGCACTTGAAAGTAAGCTTGGCTCAGGTCGATCGTCGAGATGTAACGCGCCGAACGCAGTTTGTCCAGTATGCCGTTCATATTCGGCAGCGGGTAGGCGTCCTTTTTCGACACGTCGTTTACCTTCCGGAAATCCAAACAAAAGCGATACTTTCCGTTGGGCTTTTTGATCATCACGATCGGATTTGACCATTCGCTATGCGAGGGTTCGATTATCCCGGCGCGCAGCATTTTATCTACCTCGGCGTGAATTGCTTCCTGTACCTTCGGAGATACGAGGTAGCAGCGCTGCCGGATCGGCTTATTTTGTCCGACATCTATCGTATGCTCGGTAAGCGAAGTGACACCGGGATTCTCAACAGGGTCCGGCAACCGCTCTTTAAGAAATCTACCTAATCTTTCGGTTTCCGACGGGGTCAGTTCCGAGAGTCCACAGCACGTTTGCGCAGATCCCTTATTATTTAGAAAGGGGTACCTGCACGTTGATTCGTCGGCGAAATACCATTCCGCGGCAGCAAAGTCTACTATTACCTTAAACGCGCGCAAAAAATCGACTCCTAATATACACGGGACGGCTAGGCTCGGCAACAAACACGTGGAGACGTCGCGGCTTCGACCTGCTACTTGAAGCGTAATCTCTGCTTCTTCGCGTACCTCCGCTAGCTGTCCGTTCGCGGTTCGAATCTGCGTACGATGATCGCGGTTAATCGGCGATCTCAACCGGCGAATAATTTTTATGCCCGCGGCTCCGAGGATGGTTCTATTTGACCCCGAGTCGATCAGAGCGCGTAAGGTTTCGCCCCCCAGCGAGATCTCGCAGTACGGGAGCTGCGACAGCGTTCGAGCGTCGTCGCCGAGTGAGCTGGACGACAAGCTAGAGGCCTCGCTCGTGGCTTCCGCGCGGGCCTTTTCTAAGTATTCCGGGATCACCGGGGCCCGCCCTAGTGATTCCCGCTTTCGTTTCCCGCACATGCCGGGCACGTTCGGACGGTAACGTTTGTTTTCCCGCAACGATAGCAATATACGCGGCGCGGCTCAGCGCATTCGCGTGCGATATGGCCGGCCTTGTCGCAGTTCCAGCATTTGCCGGATGATTTCGCAGAATTCGCGTGACTCGAGGACGCGACGTTACTCGTGGAGGCGGCAGCCTCACTATTCTGTCGTGCGGAATTAGATTGCGCCTTCGTCGCGCGAGCGGCCTCTTTTCGCGCGCGTCTCTCGGCACGCTTCTTTCCTGGGAGGTTATCCGTCAATCCGATAGCCGCGACCGCGGGAGTTTTCTTAGAACTCTTCGGCGGTGCCCGATACGCGAGATCCGGGAATATCATCTGTTCCGGCGGCGGAGGCGCACGATATCGACTAGCGGCTTCGTACCCCTGCTCCACTCGCGTAGCCTGACTCTCCAGTGAAGCAAAATCGTAAAAGTCGCGGCGCTGAACTACGATTTGCAACCGCGGCAACATATTCCGGTGAGCCTGATTAAGCTGTTCTTCCAGACTCCACGGCGGACTCAGTCTCTCAAACATCGCGCGAATACAAGTAAGAAAATCGGCAATCGACTCGTATTCCCCCTGCGTGCGTCTCTGTATGTCTTCGCGTAACGCGAACTGAAAGTCCGGACTACCGAACCGCGCACGCCACGACGTTTCAAATTCCTTCCAAGTCCGCCACCGTCCGCGCTCGTTCCGATACCAATATAAAGCCGTGCCGTTCAAAAAGAAAGGGATACACTTGAATACGTCGGCATCGGTGGCCGTGAATAGGGCGCGACCCTCCTCGATACGCAATAGGAAGGCTTCCGCGTCGCAACCTCGAGCGCCGGAGAATTTAAGGTTCCACCGACGCATCATCTGATATACGTCGGTCGCGGAATCGGTACGACGCGCGGGCGCACGAATTTCCGGTTCGCGTCTCGGCAGCTGTAGTAACGGAGGCTGCAAGAGATGCTCCGCGAAATCCATTCCCGGGGTCCGAACTCGATCGTCCTTGATGATCGTTCCGGTACTCGATTCGCCCGATGCGCGATCGTCCCCGCTATCCTCGCCTTCCGTTTCCGGAGTCGGCGGCGGCCTCCACCCTAATTGCTCGCAGCGAACGGCTTTGGTCAGCCGCGCACGCAAGACGGGTAATATTCCTTCCGTTTTCAATCCGCGGCATTCTAATTCTTCGCGCAATTGTTCTAACGATAATTCGTGGAGTCGCGCGACTCGTTGTTCGGCGTCGGAATCCATGGCAAGGATCGTTGTTCGTTCGGCCGTGGACGCGCTAATTGCCGGTCCTCGCGAATCAATCTACCGAGGCGTCGTATTATTGGACCGAAGACCGATCAGAGAACATACCCAAAAAAAAATATTTTCCGCCAAACAAGGGAAGAGAAAAAAAAACTTTTCCGAGAACGGACACTCCAGCTAATACCCTGAAATAAATATTTGCTTCACGGCTGTGAACTTCAGAACGTAAACATTCGGCGGCAATAATAAACGGATTAGTCGTCGAGAAGCGATGAGCACGACGGAGGACAATAGGGCCACGTCAATATAACGCGCGGTGTCACGACCTATCGAGAAAATAACAAGTATACACAACAGCGTCACGCTATGATATGCTAACGCGAGCGAATTCTCGAACAGCCTATGAGTCGCGATCGGATTCTTTCTCTTAATGAGGTTTAATTCCCTAGCCCCAATCAGTGCTGTAATTTCATGGATCGTTTCCGCACAATACAACGTGTCAATCGTAAACACTATATAATAGCAATTATCGCTGAAAGAAACGGATTATCGCACATTATAAGAAACACATTTTATGATAATAAAGCATTTATAAATAATGAGCACATCTTATATATGTTCGGCAGCAGACACCTCTCTCTTTATTTCATATGCTTCTATTTAATTTTATATAAATGGTAGATATTTATTCGATCCGTACTTGATTACTTGATAAAAGATTATTATGATCTCAAAAGTTTATATTAATGGAAACTTCTTTGCTGTTACAAGGGGAGCAGCAACAGGATAAAAAAAAATTTTAACCCTAAGAGACGACAACTGATTGAACTCTCTCTTGGAAATACAAGAAAAGAGAGAGAGAGAAAAAAAAAATATATAATAATTTTAAAGTTATCAATAATAATTTTTCATCATACGCTAATAAATTTTGTAAATAAGTTATAAAATTTTCATTGAGAGAGTGTGCGCCGGATTACAATTTCAAACATACAAGAAAAATTTTCAATTGATACATAATTCCGTCAAGTACATGTTCAGCCGAAGAAGAAAAAAAAATGTTTGTTCTCGTAATGTTAGTTTTTCCCCAATAGTTCCCGATAAGTAAAGGGAGAAAGCGAGAGAGAAAAAAAAACTTCTCTCCTTCAAATTAGCTCGTCGCAACAGATATCTTCAATTTTCCACGAAAGTTATTTTTTTCGCGAAAAGAAAAAAAAAAAAAAATTTTTTCTCAGTCTTACGTGATGTCGTTAACGTCAACGCAAAAAAAAAATTTTTCGATACTTATTTTACTCATAATAATTTTACAGAACTTTATCTTCCCAAAAATCTCCCAACAAAATTTTCCAACATTTATTAATTTTTGACGAGCCAATTTCCTATCTCCCCTTAATTACACACAAAAAAAAAGAAAACTTTAATCCTCTGGTGAATTTCAGTTTCTTCGCCACGCACCGGGTCTTCAGGCCTCGACGTTGGGCGCCAATTTATAACCGTATCGCGCGGAATTCGCAGCGAATATCCATTCGTCGCGGAAGGAGAAAAGTCTCCTGCGGAATATCGGTTACCTTCGGCGCGATCTCTCCGTTCGATCACAAAAAAAATTTGCAACAAACAAAAAAAAATAATAAAGAGAAAACTAAAATCTCAATTTAGTTGGGCGCCAGGTGCGGCAGCCGCACCGTCTCTCAATTAATAAATTCGCGGGACGCTAAGTCTTAATTTCCTCGGACCTCTTGTCCTAGCCCTTTCGCGGGCGTCAATCACGGGAGAGAGAGAGATCGCGACGGCAACTTTCCCGCTCGGCTAGCCTCTGTGCGGGTAAGGGTTCGGGTGCGTGGCGGCAAGAAATCACCCTAGGAATTAAAGTTAGTAAAACATATATTTAACTTTGGTTCACAAGACACATGAGTATATAATATAAAGAAATAAGCGGCGTGCACAGACGCACGATTGAGAGTTCGGTGGGGCACTACGCCCGGTGGTTCGCCGTGCCGAGTTATGAATAATCTTTAACAAATTCGCGGCAACAAAGTAGGGTCCCCAATAACGAAAAGACGATTAATTAAATCGGCGACGCGCCACCGGGTATATGGCTCCACGCCGCGGGCGCGTGATCCGCGCGGTATGCGCGACAACAAAGGGGCCGGCGTAAGGGCGCACCGCGTGCGCCGTACATAAATTCCACACACAAAATCAAACGTAATCACGCCTTTTCGTTTAAGCCTTTACAACCTCAATACTTTACAACATTAATACTTTACATTATCAATACTTTAATGAGCCTGAAAGCGTTTATGAGCTCTTTGATTTTCGCTTCGAACAATAATCGGCAACGCGTAAATCGCGGTAATTTTCGCGCGACAATGTTACGCGCGAAGACTGTCCACGCGGGAGAGAGAATACGCGAAAACGCAAGAGAGTGGATGGGTCATAGTTTCTCCCAATGGAGTTTCGTTACGTTAATACCGTGACTCGACGATAAAACGAATCTCTCGTAATTCTATAACTGGCCGGCAACTAAGTCCGGCATACTCTCTTAACGATAAGTAATTCGGGACCCATCCACTCGGCTACCTTAATTCGGCGACAGCAGGATGACCACGTCGTCTCACCAGTCCTATAACGATCCTTATCGTCCTCTCCTCTTTCGCTCTCCCTAAGTGCGCTTCCGTCTCGGGACCTCCGCTCTCTTCGGGCGCTCGCTAGACAGTGCCGAACCGGGGGCCCTCAGGAGACACGTCGGTGACCCAATTATGTAGATAGGCCACTCGCGGCGCTATCAGGTCGGCCGCGCGCGCGGCCTCGGTGATCCTTGCGGCCGCGCGCGTAATTATCCTTACCCGCGGAGTCCTGATCCGCGGGTTGCCCTTCGTAGGCGGTCGTCGCGGCAGCGCACGGCAGGGCCGCTCCTTGCTCTCCTTCGGGATTCCGGAAGTCCCGGGGGCGGCAGCTCTCCTGCCGGCGCTCCGTATGCGGGGACTCGGGTGCTTGTTGCACCCGAGTGGCCATCCCCTGTTCGCCCCTGGAAGGTACAAATTTTCAGGCAGTGGCACCTACTCCGTTGTCGGATATTTGGTGAAGAAAATTTTAACTTTGGGCTTACCGGGCATGTCCCTGACGAAGGGGGTCCCCGTCGTCCTGCTTCCTATGCCTTCCCCTTTCTCCTCCAGGTTTTCTCTATCGGCTGAGACTCGTCGCACATCCTGTCTGCCGCCGAAATAATCCTAACTCTCAAAAAACAAAAAAAAAATATATGGAAACGCGTAGCAGCGGGTTCGCGTCCGATCCCGCGCTTTTCGCACGCACGCTCTCTCTCTCTCTCTCACTGTCTCGGGAGAGCAGAGGTCCCGTGCCCTCCCCCGATCGGGCCATTCAACCCTTGTGACGGACAATTTCAATTTGTCACGTCACAATATATATACATATACATATATTAGGCTATGGTCGGACAAGACGCAATAAATGCTTCGAAATATTATGTTTATTCTTGTGAAATAAAGGACAAAGATAAAATAATCCTAAAAAAATCATAAAAATGAAAAAGTCAGGCCATGTTCAAAAGAAGGTACTCAAAAATTTAAACGATCTAATAATAAATTATCACGAAAAGTAACTGATATGTTATTCAAGGTGCCAGTTCAAAGTGAACATACGTAAAGTGTATATTATCTAAATTTAGTAATAATATATTACCATGAAAAGTAACTGTGATATTTTATTCAAGGTGCAAGTTCACATTGAATATACATACATATAAGTAAAACTGATTACAATTTGATTCTAGAAAATAAGTGCGATATGTTATTCTTAGTGCACAAAATATAATAGTCGTTTATAGAGATTTGATTTGAAATTCATACTAGCCCGTACAATGAAAAATAATTGCTCGTAATTCCAGAGTACCAATTTGTTAATGACTCAGAAAAATAACATGGCGGCCTGCTCTCAAAAAACTATGATGTTTCTCGATGTCCATTTAGAAATAATGTCGAAGCTCTTACAGAATAATTACTACAACATTTGAAATACGAAAAGTATTACATTAGAAGAAGATTAGATTAGAATAAGGATTCAACGTATTTTTAAAAGCTCTACACACACAACGAAGTGAATATACAAAACTATATACAAATACCTTTTTCTTCTGTGTTTCTGAAGAAAATTGTAAGTCAAATGAAACCTTGCACTTTGAGAACCATGTCACTTACTTTTCAGAGTCAAATTGATAAATTTTTTTTGTATATTTTAATGATATTTATTTCTCACTTGTATCTTGAATAATTAATATGTAATTTTTTATTGTATATTACGACAAATAATCAGTAAACTTTTTAAGCGTATAGCTTTATTGTAGTTGACCTGAGAACTGTACATTTATAAATTTTACTTAATATACACCCGTTTCGAGCAACAAGGCAAAGTTTTCTGATCAATAACTTACTCCCTGAAAATACGGTATAACACAAATCGGAAGTTGATACAAAAATTCGAAATTTTACTAAAGAAAGATTGGAGGTTTTTAATTTATACAATTTTCACAACTCTTATTTCAATTATTTATTCTACCCATCGAAAGTTTTTTGAGAGCAGGCCGCCATGTTATTTTTCTGAGTCATTAACAAATTGGTACTCTGGAATTACGAGCAATTATTTTTCATTGTACGGGCTAGTATGAATTTCAAATCAAATCTCTATAAACGACTATTATATTTTGTGCACTAAGAATAACATATCGCACTTATTTTCTAGAATCAAATTGTAATCAGTTTTACTTATATGTATGTATATTCAATGTGAACTTGCACCTTGAATAAAATATCACAGTTACTTTTCATGGTAATATATTATTACTAAATTTAGATAATATACACTTTACGTATGTTCACTTTGAACTGGCACCTTGAATAACATATCAGTTACTTTTCGTAATAATTTATTATTAGATCGTTTAAATTTTTGAGTACCTTCTTTTGAACATGGCCTGACCTTTTCATTTTTAT